CTCATCTTTCTCCCGTGGAACAGCTGGTAGTTTCGAACTTCTGACCATGAGATTAGCAGCCTGATTTGTAACCACTACGTTACCAGAGCACAGCCATATGGGAAAGTTCAGATTGGCCACACTGCATCTGGGGTGTCCACACAGATTGCCTGTTTCCTTTACTTCCTTTTTGTACCCCCTGTACCCTACATGTCCAGTCAGTGCCCCCATCTTGTGAGACCCAGTCCAGGGCTGGCCAAGGTTGACTTTGCAGATTTGGATCAGAGCCTGCCTTAGTAAAGTGCTTACATATACCTCTTCCTTGGTGCTTACAACCTCCACGTGACTCTGACCATCTGGAAAGTGGGAGAATTTATGGGGTTTGCTGGTCAAGAAAAAAAGGAAGAAAAATAAGTAAATAAATCATACCTTTTTTTCCCATGAGTTTCATGTAGGTTTCTGCAATGCGAATGTTGTTTCTCTTCTGGACTGCTCACAAGCTTTCAAGAGGGCAGTGATAGGTTCTGTCGAATGCCATTGCTCATCAGTCACCTTGTCTCTTGCTGTGTTGATTCAGCTCTGTCTCCCAGTAAGCACTCGATCCACTCTTCTGTCTGTTCCTCTGGAACACAGAGTTCTAGAATGGTCCCCTGTATCTGTCTTAGCCAGTTTTCCGTATCTTTGCTGCAGAGAGCCCACACAACCTTTCTGCCTAGGCCACCATGTTTCCCCTCTCTCATTTACTTATTGATTCAACAGTTGTTCAGTAACCAATGAGCATCTACTATGTACCAGTTGACTCTGGTTTAAAAAACAAACTTCATACAGCATAAAAAATTACAACAGAATCAGGTCTGTAAATTTTTAAAATATGATTGTATTTCCTAATCACAGACTTTTAACCACGATTCACAGAATGACTGTGCACATCCAGTTCCCCTCTGTAGGGCCTGTGGCTTTAGCTACTCTGGCTACATTCCCCACATGCAGGCTGGTCAGGTGTTCATTTACCATTAACTCGTGAGCTCTATCTCTCTCTTGGGGACTTGGAGCATGGGGCCAAAACTCCAGGTGGCCCCCTGTGGTTAGTGCCCCACTCTTCTGTCTGATGGCTCTTACCTTGCCCGCAGGAGCTTCGCACTTGGGAGGAGGAGTTGACACGGGCAGCACTGCAACAGAAGAACCAGGAGGAGCTGCTGCGGCGTCGGGAGCAGGAGCTGGCCGAGCGGGAGATCGACATTTTAGAACGGGAGCTCAACATCATCATCCACCAGCTGTGCCAGGAGAAACCCCGGGTGAAGAAACGCAAGGGCAAGTTCAGGAAGAGCCGGCTAAAGCTCAAGGATGGCAATCGCATCAGTCTCCCTTCCGGTGTGTGGCCCAGGTCTGCTGGGAAGTGAAAGCAGAGAACCTGGTCAGGGAGCAGTGGCAGGGGGCAAGTGGGAGTTGGAGACTGAGCGTAGAAACCTCACTGGTGGAGCTGGTTTGAGATAGGCTATTCCATTAAGTGGAAGCGTACTGGGCTGCTGGCAGGCTGCCTCACTCTAGGACATTGTTGAGTGTGGCTGGACACAGAGTAAGAAATGAAGACAGATCAGGCAGGTAAGCTCCCGGTTGCTTGAGTCATGATTGCTCACATGGAGACAGCTCGCACTTAGGAAACCTGAAGAGGGAAACATGGAATTGGGGGAAATTTTATTTTTCCAGAGTGTTTGTATGTATGGGACAAGAAAAATGTTGGCTCTGCAAATTAACTCATATCACAATTTCTTTAAATAATTAGTTTTTGAGTGCAGTTGAAATTAGGTTAAATTTATGAGTATTTGATATACACCAAGCCTTTTACCAGCCGTTCTGCAGGAGAAAGATGAGGCGTTCTGCTCCCGTAAAGATTTACAGCCTTGGAAACCCTGTACAGGGTCACTGTGAGTTGGAACCGACTCCACAGTACTTAACAACAACAACAACAAGCCTTTTAGAAGCACACTGGTAGAAAAAGGTGCATTTATCATGTCTGTAGCCCTCGAGAAATGCCAAGGGAGAAATATGAAACTGTCCATTAGAATCATTGCAGTGTGCCATGTACCCACAATAGAGGTGAGTACTAAGCATTGTGTTAGTACCCATAGAGACCCTGTATAAGGCTTCCAAGGAGCAGCTGGTGAACTTGAACCATTGACCTTTTGGTTCAAACTGACTTTGCAGCCCCGTGCATTAGTGCCACTTAAGAATAGACGTGGGAATTACAGTAATTCGTTGTAATTCAATAATTGTGTTCATGTTTACTCGTTTCTTTGTTGTATATATTTTTTCTTTTCAGATTACCTAGAGTCTTTCATCACCTACCTCTTGAGCATCTAGTGTGTGCACAGATGCTACTGGGTACTGGGTATAGAGAAATAAAAGCTGTAGCTCCTACCTTCAGAGAGAATGAAGTCTAGTGAGCACTGGTTGTTATCAATTGCCGTCGAGTTGATTCCAACCCATGCCAACCTCTGTGACTTTGCAGAAGCAGTCACCAGGCCTTTCCTCAGAGGTGCTTCTGGGTGGGTGCAAACCACCAACTGTTTATGTCACTCAGGGGCTCCTCTAGTCAGGAAAACTAGCTGCAAACAAACAGCTGTTTGTCATAATTGTTTGGCACACATGGAGACTAAAACTCAGACATTTCAGAGTGGAACACAAACCCCAGTTTACTGACCTTAAGTTCTATATTCTTTATGTGGCTATCAGAATTTGTCCATCTGCTTGCCTCCCCTGGGTTCTTACCAAGGACTGGCTCTTAATAACTCGCTCTGCCGATCTTAGTGAAAACATCTTCTCCCTACTTTGATCTCTGAGAAAAGGGAGCTTGTTGTAGGACATTATGTGAAATAGAGAATTCTAAGTTCAGTTTTCTTTAGAAGAGTCAACAAGTTCTTATGTTCTAAGAAATATTTCAGAATATGTCATTGCTGCACCTATATACATTAATGAACTGATGAAGATTGAGTAATAACATTTACTTAGATAATGAGTTTTCCATTTTTCCATACCTTCATCTTATCATATCCCTTTGAGAAAAAGATGATTCTGAAAGAAAATTTCCCATAGGTGAACAATGAGCTTTTCAAGAAACTGGGACTTGTCCCTCAGGAATGGCAGATAATGTCAGTTTTCTTAACAGGAAAATTCTAATGCACATGCCTGTGTTTGTCTTTCCCTAAGCAGATTTCCAGCACAAGTTCACGGTGCAAGCCTCCCCAACCATGGATAAAAGGAAGAGTCTGATCAGCAACCGCTCCAGTCCTCCTGCAAGCCCCACCATCATTCCTCGCCTTCGAGCCATCCAGTGTGAGACTGTTTCCCAAATTAGTTGGGGCCAGAACACACCAGGGGGCAACTGTTCCCTGCTCTGTCCAGCCACCGACTGGTCCAGGCTTGCTCCATCCATAACTTCTGCCACCTCTCCTCGACAATGTGTATATACATGCACATATGTACGCAAACCCTTAGTCCTCCCCCTTGTCTCTCTCCATTAACTTTACTACTTCCTACTGTACCTTTACTCTTAGACACCAGCAAAGAAATTAGTATCTCTAGTGAATTGCAGAGTGATTTGGACATTGATGTATGTGTAGACCCAGGTGGATACCTGGGCTGGGGACGTTGGCATGTTCTCCACCATTTCGGGTATTGTTGCTTCTCTTTAGTTTATGCTTCCCAGGGAAAGCCTTTGCAAAGTTTAGCATCTAAGGAAACTTGGCAAATACTTTATGGTAGGCTGAATCTGTACCAATTTTTATTTGCTGGGGAAAAATGGAGAGATTTCAACGAAAAAATCTGGACTGCTGGCTTTTTAAGAAAATCAAATCAAATGAGTGTGTTTCTTCTTCCCATGGAGCCAAGTTGTTTCCGCATGGTCTATATTTTGCCTCAGTCCCTCAACAACCTGGTTTGTTTGTTTTTTTCTAACTGGCTGACTTCATGTATGTATATATGACTGGTGCTGAGGCATTTGGGTTTCAACTCTTGCTCTAAGAAACCAATGTGAGAGGAATGTTCCTTCTCTTCTTTCTATTCCTCTGGGCCCATCTTTACCCCACTCCTCCTATTCCTACCTTCCTTTTCCTTACCCACTACTCATCTGTCAATTTGTCATACTGTGGTGGCTGGTGTGTTGCCGTGATGCTGAAAGCTATGCCATCAATATTTTAAATATCATCAGACTCATTTATGGTGGACAGGTTTCAGCAGAGCTTCTAGACTAATAGGTGACTACTTCTGAATACTTTACTGCTAAAAACCTTAGTAGCAGTGGATCCTTGTCAGATATAGTGCCAGAAGATGAAAACATTATGAATAGAAATACAATATTGTCAGATATCGTGTCAGAAGATGAGCCCCCCTCAGGTTGGAAGGCACTCAGTATACAACTGGGGAAGAGCTACCTCCTCAAAGTAGAGTTGACACAAATGGAGTAAAACTCTTGGGACCGTCATTTGCTGTTGGGGTATAACTCAAAATGAGGAGAAATACCTCAAACGTTCATTAGAAATTGGAACATGCAATCTATGAAGTAGGAATCTAGGAAAATTGCAAAATGTAAAAAATGAAAGGAATGCATAAAGATCGATGCACTAAGGCATTAGTGAACTGAAACAGACTGATATTGGCCATTTTGAATATGACAGTCATATGGTTTATTAGTTTGGGAACAACAAATTCAAGAGGAATCATAGCATTCACCATCACAAAGAACATTTCAAGATCCACCTTGAAAATACGATGCTATGAGCTGTGTTAGAATAATACCCATATGACTGCAAGGAAAACCAGTTAATACCACTATTACTCAAAAATATGCTGCAACCAGTAAAGCCAGTGATGATGGAATTGAAGAGTTCTCCCAGCTTCTTCAATGTGAAGTTGATGAAATATGTAATCAAAGTGTATTGATAATTAATGGTGATTGGAATGCAGAAGTTGGAAACAAAGATCAGCAGTTGGAAAATATGACCTTGGTCATAGAAATGATGCTGGGGATCCTGTGATAGAATTTTGGAAGACCAATGACTTACTCATTGCAAATACCATTTTTAAACAACATAAAAGATGATTATACAAATGGACTGAGCAGATGAAATATACAGTAGTAAATTGATTACATCTGTGGAAGAGACAGTGGAAAAGCTTAATATCATCAGCCAATATAAGACCAGGTGTCACCTGTGGAACAGACCGTCAATTGTGTATATGCAATGCAAGTTCAGGCTAAAACTAAGAAAATTCAAACAAGTTCACAAGAACCAAAATATGACCTTGAATTTAGAGATCATGTCAAGAACAACTTTGATTCACTAGACACTAATGACCAAAGACCAAATGAGTTGTGGGATGACAACAAGAACATCATACAGGAAGCATCAAACCAGATGGAAAGGTCATTTAAAAGACAAGAAAGAAACAAAAGACCAAAATGGATATTAGAAGAGACTCAGAAACTCGTTCTCTAGTGTAGAGATGCTAAAGCGAATAGAAGACATGAGGAAGTAAGACATCTGAACATAAAAGAGTGCAGCTTAAGAATATAGTACAAAGCCAGATATTAAAAGGAGATATGGATATACAGATTTGAAGGACTTCCGGTGCTTCCCAGACCAGGCAACTCAGGTAGGGCTCTGGGGAAAAGGGGCAGAATCGCACATAGGAAACCTCTGTCACATAGCAGACAGACAGCCTTTGAGCAAACATAAGATCTTATAGTTCAACATTCTGAACTCGTTTTTTTGAAAGATCAAATTGCTGAGGAATTACAGGTATTTTGAGCTTTTGCCTGCTTGCACGCGGCTCCCGCTCTCCGCGCCAGTGCCGGTGAGTGCCTCGGCCCCCTGCGGACCTTGGAGTGCAGAGCTAAAGTAACCCCATTTAGAAGGCTGCATTTCCAGAGTAAAGGAAGCATTCATTGGCAAAGACAAACAAATAGAGAGGGATATCGGTGTGGATATCAGGAAATTCGGGGTACCCATGGTACAGAGAGACTGAGAGAGGCATTTTTTACGTAATCAGATACACGCCCACTGAGGCCAAGGCCTGCCCAGAGGCCCAACCC